GCCCCCCCCGAAGCGCGCGCGTTGAAATGCGCGCTTCGGGTGGTCAAAATTGGAATTTTGGGGGCGAGAAAAAACTAAGTTTGACTTGGCGAGAAAAAAATTCTCGCCAAGGAGAGACTCGCCAGTCGAAGTTGCGGGTGCGGTTCAGTGCGGTGACGCGACTATGGTCCGCGAGTTGCTCCGTGAGATAGGCGATTAAAGAACTATTTCTAACCTTTCTTCTCGTTTTCAAGCTAAGAAATCGCTCCAGTGCTGTTAAAAAAACGAGGCAAATGCATTTCGGCCAGGTGATGGCCATCCTCAGTGCTAACAGCATCTAGAGTGGCGAAATCAAACCTAAAAGGGGAAGAGAGGCTTGTGAGAGAAGGCCCTATCCCCTGTAGTAGCACCCACAGAAAATGTACAACACCTAAAACTAATCTAAACATTTATAAAAATGATATATTCATCTATATAAATATTTAGGTCGTTCTTCGGCGCCGCTGGGAAATAAAAATGTATTTCCTTTGTTCCTGTAGCGTGCTCTTGGGGAGCTGGGTCCTGCGGGGTGATGAAACGCACGCAACGAATAGGGCGAACGGCGTGGAAAGCACTAGGCAAGGAAAAAACAGGAGGAGATCGCAGGGTGAAGATAGATATGCGTGGCTAATCATTTTTGAATAGATGTAAACCCGCCAGGCAGCCTGTATACTGTAAGAGTGCTGTCGTGAAGGTGCTGTTCCCGTGCATTTATGTGCTTGTGCGCCGGCGTGTCTACCTGTGCAATGCGTCGTGCTGGTGAATGCGCAGTGCTGGACATGCGATGCATATGAAGCAGGGTTTAGCTAGGGGCGCGAGAGCGGTGTTGCGGTCTGTGTATTCGTGTATAGGGATGCAGGGGGTGTGATGTGTTATGTGTGTTTGGTGTGGAAGTATGCGTGAGAAGAGGAGGGGAGTGGGGACTTGGGGACAGAGGGACAGAAAGAGGGATGGGACAAAAGGATAAGTGAAGAGACTGTTGTTGGTTCTTGATTGGAGCTGCAGGGGTAGGTGGAGGGGGTGAGACATAGGGATGGCGAGATTAATTTTTTGAGAGAACTGGGGAGCGCATAGCGTGGGGGGGAGAGAGAGGAGCGGGGGGGGGGGGGGGGGGGGGGGGGGGGGGGGGTTCGGGGGGGCGCAGCCCCCCCGATTGTTTGAAATGCAGTGTGAGAGGACAACAGCATGGAAAGCCACAAACAGGGGCGAGCCCAGCAACGATATACGATAGAGTCCAGTGGTGTCGTTCATGCGGCACTGCACTCGGAAGTAGCTCGAGCGTCGGCACTCGTGAAAGCAGCTCGGACGAGCATATTCCTCAGCTTAGGTGCTGCACGGAAGCTGAGGAAAAGGCTGTCTCGGGCAGAGCGTCTCTAGGGTTGTCCTACTCGTCTCGGACCGGAGCAGGGACCTTATCTGTGGGTGCTCGAGACTAGGGTGGTACTCGAGCACAAAAGGCAGTACTCTGCCGTCACGGTGCTTACCTTTCACTGATCGTTGCAGGAGTGTTTCCCTGTCGCTGTACTGTACCTCGTCAAAGATCTGCCGGGATGAAGTTCGAGTGGTAGCCGCGTGCTCGTAGACGCACTGCGAAAGAGGATTTCATCTGTTGGAAGCCCTCCTCTGATGACTCCCGCAGGAGGTAGCGGTACAGCTCACCAATTATGAATCCTCGTTTGCAGTGTCGCGGGTGTGCCGATCGGAAAGGGAAATACTGATAGACGTTCAGCGGTTTCTGGTACACTGAGGTGTCCAGAAAACCGCCTCTCACATCTTCCTTTCTCGTTGCCTCCCACAGATTACCTTTGCTGAAGGTGATGTCGAGCAGCGTAAACGATGTGGCGCTGACCTCGGTGGTGATGTGAATGCCGTCCATGAGGCTGTTGTAACCCTCTATCCATTGGTGTAGTTCTGCTAGCGATCCGGTCCAGACTACCAATCCGTCGTCGATGTAGCGTCTATGCAGTAGCACATGCCTTGACAGGGATGGGTGTAGTTCCTCCATGCGAGTGTCTAGCCAGCTCATAAAGAGAACTGCGTAGATCACTGCAACCGGAGTACCCATGGCTGTACCTCGAATCTGTCGGTAGAACTTCCCATCGAATTGTAGGTGATTTTGTGTCATGACTAGCTCCAGGAGCGCACAGCACGCACTGAGCTGTTTGGCGGTACCCATCTCCGGCCAAACTGGGTGGCTGTGGATGTGCACGAATCTGTCCTTTGTTTCTCGGATGGCGTCCAAGCCCTGCTGGAGCGGGATCGACGGGTAGAGGCTCTCTACATCGTACGTGAGGAAGATGGCATGTTCAGGTATGGGGAGGGCACGAAGTGTGTGGAGTAGGGTGATTGAGTCTGGTAGATGGGTTGGTGCCAGGGCCAACAAAGGGCGTAGGTAGTGATCGAGCACCTGGCTGGCGTGTTCAAAGATCCAGAGAGTAGATGAGCAAATCGGTCTCCCTTGACAGGGTCTTTATGCAGTTTAGGTAGCAGATAGAATCTGCACACCCGGAACTGCCCAGGGTGTATGTCCGTGTGATCCTCACATTCTGCTTCTGTGCGTCGCTCAAACTCTTGGTTGCAGGATGTACTCGATGGTTTCCTTCGGAAACCTATCCTTGTACCTCGAGCACCAAGTGTTGAGGTCCCTGCACAGGTCGTCCATGGGTACCGCTGCGACCTCTTTGTAGGTTTTGGTGTCGGATAACTGCCTAAGTGCCTCTGCTCGATACCACGAAGTATCTAGGAGTGCGAGTCCTAGATTCTTATCTGCTGGCTTTACCACCACCTCTTTATTCTTACCCAACTTTTGTAGGCACCGTAACGCTTGCTCACTCATGTTCCTGCGTGCGCTACGCGTCATCAGTGGGAGGCGTTTGGTAACGTTCCTTCCCACCTCCGCGATGTATCGCTCTACAGGGGGGGGAGCAGGGTTGGGCATCCAGGATGGGTTGGCAATACGAAAGCGTGGGGCTGGCCTGTCAGACGAGAACTGTGCGGTAAGTCTCACTGCTCTCGTGAATCTTGAGAGGGCGCTCATAACTGTTTGTTCTGTGGGGGGTGATGGGGTTGGGATGAAAGAGAGTCCTAGGCTTAGCCCCTCGAGCTCTATGCGCGAGAGGGTGAGTGCGGATCTGTTGTGAATGAATTTCGAGTTTAGTTCGTCCTGTAGGATAATCTGCGGTGTTCGAAGTAGGCGTTTTTTGGTTGGGGTCAGCAGGGTCGAGGTGTGCTTGCGTCTAGGCCTCGAGCGAGGTCGTTTGTATTGACTGGTCTTACTCACCTGCCGGTAGGTGTTATTCGCTACCAAAGCAGAAGATGGTGTGGAGGGTAGGGTGTTACAGGTAGTGGCGTCGATGGATGCAGACTGAGAGATGAGGTGCTGGTTTGTTGTTGGGGTTGGTGGTGTTGGGGTTGGGTCGGCTTGTCGGTGGTGGGTGTGCGGTGGTGTCCTCTACCTGGTTGTGCTGTGCGTTTGATGTAGGTTGGGTCATGTGGGCGTACCTTTGGTGAGGGTAGCTGGTCGTTGGTGTCTGTAGACGTGTTGCTTGCCGCATGCTGTTCTGTGAGGGGTGGGAGGGGTTCGCTAGTTTAAAAAATGCATTGCTGAGGCATGGGGAACAGAGGTGTTGTTGAGAGTAGAGAGTGCCCCTATAACTTGTGCCGGTCCAGCTCTCCCTGTTGCTTGGGTTGCTTGAAGCCCTTGGGTGACCTGCTGGATAGGGGGGGCGTAAGGCATGTATTGCGTATGTCTGTGGTGCGGGTGTTGATGACATGACCGATATGTTCGAGAGTGCTGGCTGCGCCTGTGCCTGTGGGGGCAGAGAGGGGATGAGATTCTGAGAAAAGAAGAGGGGTTGCGTGTGGGGCAGGATATGGCTGCCACTTGCAAAGGTGGGGTGATGGGGTGTGAAGGGGTATGGGTGGTACATGTTGTGCGGTGCTGGAGCTGCCATGACGGTGTATGCGGGGAATGTTGCTGGCGTGAATGTATGCGGAGCTTGCTGGGGCAGGGGTGTTAAGTTGTTGTGCAACTCGTGTCTGTGTCTCTAGTGTGTGGTTACCTGTGCCATTTGTCAGCTGTGCTGTGCGTTCGGTTGCATGCTCGGGGTCCGGTGGTTGCTCGTTCTGTGCTGGCTGCCCTTGACCCAACTGTGTGCTTCCCGGCAGTTCCAGCTGTGTGTCCCTCTGTTGCTCTGTCCCTTCCCTGCGTCCCCCCTGTTGCGCTCGTGTCGGTGCACCCCGTGCTGTGTTCATATCTGCGCGTGCTGCTGGCCGTCCGTATTGTGATGGGAGCTGTGGTGCAATGCGGAGTGCGTACTCTTGTTGCCACTGTGTTGGTTGTGTGGTGTGGGCTGTTCCCCAGTGGAGCCGCCTAGGCAGGTTTACCTTTAGCCCACGCATAGCTACCTTCACCGCTGCAGCAGTCTTGGCGAGTGCTGCAGACGGCTGCGAAGTCCCTGCTGTAACCCGCCAGCGCCCTCCATTTCGTGTGCCCTCCTCGTGCCGCGCGATTGTCGCCACCGCTGAGGGGAGTGCCGGTCTTGCCCCGGTCACTTTCTGGGCCGCTGTTGCGCCGCCTGCTACCGGTGCCTTGGTCGTGTTGGCTGCTGCCTGTGTGGCCCTTGCTCCGGTCGTTAGTGCTGCAGTCATCGCTGTCGGTGCTGCTGCCGCACTGGCTGTTGCTGGTGCCGCAGCTGTGTTAGCTGCTGCTGGTGTAGCTGCTGCCCCTGCTGCTGCTAGGGTGGCTGTTGCACTAGCCGTTGCTGGTTGTGTCACTGTTACGGCTACTGCTGTAGTCACTGCTGCACCCGCAGCCACTTGTACAACCGCTGGCCTGTCGTCAGCCCTCCCTGTCGCCTGCCCCCCGCCCTCTCCCGTTTCCTTTCCACACCCTGCTGCTGCTGAGGCAGCCGTCGTACCTCCCGTAGCTCCCTCTGCCCCCGTTTTGGTGGTTTGCTGGTCGGCAGCTTTGATACGGTTTC